ATGTGAATAATGTGACTTATATAACTTAAGAGGAGATGGTTAATTTTCAGTTAGTTAATATAGTATTCTTGTGGATCTTGCTTGGACTAATTGAAAAATTCAATTATTATTGCCTTAGAAAGTATATGGTATGTTATTAAAATATTATATTTTTAGGACCTTACTCTCAATTTTAATATCTGTTAGTAGCACTTTGAAAACTATTAAAATAACTATTGAAATTTATGTCAAATTTTGTTAAATTAAAAAAATAGGCTTAGTAGTAAAATAAAGTAAAAATGAATCAGCTATTTTAATTAAGATGTTGACAAACTACTTATAAATTATTGGATTTAAAGCTACCTTTTAATTGAAGATACCTTCAAATTTATAAAGTACAATTAACATAGCTTCATCCCCTATCCAAACTATGTCATACTCATTAGATTGTTTTTTAATTTCTATGTTTAATTTTGAAATCCATTATGCAAGAATGATTTGGTAAATTATTATGCCCTTAATCTATATTAACTTTTTCTTTCTTTGCTACACGATAGCAGCTTAATTTAAAGTAGTAGTTTTAAATAAAAGTGTTTTTACAACTACTTTTATTTATATGTATATTTACTTATAACCAAGTTTAATAGGAGGATTTGTATAACTTATTTCGTATCGTTAAATATCTGGCTATAATTGGATTTTGGCGAATGTTAGTTATAGATTTGATACTTAGGATCATCAAAAGTGGATGTTATAATTATGTTTTCCAATGCTACTATTCCTTGCATTTTTGGTACCTTCTTTCTTTTTTTATGAGCTTTTTAAAAATCGAAATAATTTAGATAATAAATCAACTAGACTCTAATTTGGTTATTTATATAATGAATATACAACAAAAATCTGTTATTGGGAAGTTATTAAGATAACCCAAAAAGAATTAATGATCATATTTTTAACTTATTTTTAAGATAGTATTGTAATCAAAGCAACAATTATTTTTTTGATTTTAGCTATTTATTTAGAAATGACTAACAGATCTCTTCCTTATAGTTCAAATACTCTCAATAAA